AGACATATTCACACCTGTGTTCAGTGAAATAAAAGGATTTGAAATTAATTATATGTAACAAACACAATATTTTTTAATTATACAGGGCGGACTAGATTATCCGGAGTCTTGAAAAAAATTTCACTCCGGATAATCGAGCCCTCCGGATAATCGAGCCATCGAAAAAAAAAAATATTTTTGGTCTTATGTGGTCTCATTTAATGTTTTTAGTGGTCCCATTGAACGCTATTGAAGGATTATGGAATCGGACCACTGGTTTTGTAGATATGGCCGGAACAAGTTCCGGCGTTTATGGGCCATGAGGCTAAATTTGACTTGAAAGGAACAAAACCCATTAAGCGACACATCAAATTAAATCAAAATTTGATATCAAGATCAATGGTGGCAAAAATTAAGTACCTTGGACCATATTGGCCACTTCCGGGAAAGTTCCGGGTGCCTCCGGAAAAGTGGCCTTTACCAGACTTGAATAATAACCAATCATGCGACACATCAGATTATATCAAAATTCGATAACCAAATCAATGGTGGAAACAATTAAGTATTTTGGACCATATTGGCCACTTCCGGACAAGTTCTAGGTGCCCCGGGAAAGTGACCAGAATCAGACTTGGATAATAACCTATCATGAGGCACATTAAAATACATCAAAGTTCGATAAGAAAATCAATGGAATTGAACCCATGGACCATCCGCTTGAGAAGCGAACGTGTAGCCAACCACGCATTGGGACCCCTCAACTTGAGAAAAATCGTAGTCTCGCGACTCTCACGAGTGTGTAGAGACAAAGTTGAGCTTGGCTAAAAATCACGGCTACCGTGAAGGCACCATATTTGACGCGGTTCCTAACTTGACGCACTCGATCAATTTCGACCATTTTCCATTAAATTTTTTGAAATGTTAACATTGCAAATATTAGTTCCGGTGCTCTAGGGATGATAGTGTAACAATTTTTTTTTTTGAAAATATCTCACCAAAATCGAATTGTAATTAAAAATAGACAAGTGCGTCACCATTAGGAACCAAGGGCTCTTAAGAGCATACGTGTGCTGCCAGTGAATTATACGTTTTCAAAAAATACTTGGATGACACTTGGACTGTTTCGGGATTGGTTTTTCCAAGAGTTCGTCCCTAAAATGACTGCCTATCTGAAATCTGCGAATCTTCTGTTGGTATTGGATAACTGTTCCGCACATTGCAGCAGCGATGAACTTGAAACTCCAGATGGAGCTTTTAAAACTGTTTTTCCACCCCCAAACACAACCGCTATACTGCAACCAATGGATCAGAATATTATTCAAATGGTGAAGACCAATTACCTCCAAAAGTTGATGAGGGAGATACTCGGACGACCTGGAGAATTCATTGAAAACATAAAGCGAATCAACATCAAGGACGCCATATTCTGGGTTGCTGAAGCATGGGAAGAAGTTTCGGCCGAATCGATTTCCAAGTCCTGGAAGTTGCTATACACCGAACCAAAATTTGACGAAGAAGATGATGTACCGTTGTCGGTCATAAAGGAACATTTGACTACAATTCAACTGATGGTTGCTGATAAAGCGGCTGCAGGCGAAAATGAAGACGAGAATGCGGAATTCGATGTCATGTCTGATGCTGACATAGTCAATGCTGTTCTTAACCATGATTCACATTTTTATAACGGAGAAAGCGTGACGAACACCACTCTTGATGAAACTGCAAACATTTCTACAGCAGATGACAACCAAGATGAGAAGTACGAACCGGTTCCAGATCAATCAGCGCTGAACAGTATTGACACTATCATCACATGGGCTGAGGAAAACCAAATGGAACGGCAGTTTTTACTTCGTGAAATCAGAGTAAATATTCTTGAAAAAATAGTCATTTACTGAATCACTTTACTGATGAACTACTGTTTTTACTGAAATGTTGAATAAATGAATTGAACTACAAAATAATATAAGAAAATTGACATAAATTTTCAGGTATGAAGCCACCAACAGACCAGTTCTCACGAAACCCCCCTTTAAAGGCCCTTTGGTACATTTTTTTTTACGGATCTTCAAAAATTTTGTTCGGTTGCCATTCCCCCGCCCCCTGAAACGTGACGTAATTAGTGAATGGACGATCATGGGATTCAGTTTTTGTATGTTGTTGTGGCACATGATGATATGTTTGATTCCTTTCAGGTCAAAGTTAATCCAAAGCCCCTTAACGCCGGATTTTGTAACAAAGACACACAAACACTTAAATATAGTCTTTTCCCGATCTTGTCAGACAGAGTCGAACGATGTATGTTACTCGTCCTCGGATCGAAAGTCGGTTTTCCAAGCGGTTTATGAAAAATAATTTGCAAGATAGGTAAAAAAATATGACTCCGGATAATCGAGCCATTTTCTCCGGATAATCGAGCCCCGGATAATCGAGCCTCCGGTTAATCGAGCCTCCGGATAATCGAGTCCGGCCTGTACCTATTTTCTATTTTCATAATTTTTGAGCAATTCATCGACGGCTTCCTCATAATATGGGCTTCTTAAATTTCCTAAAAAGGTTGTGACAACACGCTGGAACGATTTCCACGCTTCTTCCTCATCTGGTGTCAAAACTGTATTGAATGCGGAATCATTGAGCAGTTTTTTGATCTGTGGGCCAACAAATACACCTTCCTTTATCTTTGCGTCAGATAAACAGGATACGGGACCGAACTTGAATGTGGAACAGGTTTTGTCATAGAAGCCACTTGTGGATACTCAACTGTTTTGTGACGTCCTTGTTGCTTAACTTTTGTCAAGCAGAAATAACAATCCATTGCATGACAAAACGGTCGACGCCATATGGTGGGCATGTCAAAGGACAAATAGCGACTGACAGATAACAAATAAGTGAGTTAGTAAGTAAGACATTAACACTTATCAAAAATAGATGAAGTAAGATAATGTCGATCAGGAAAGAACAAAGCACTACCATGCTGTACATAAATTGTTTATATGAAAGTTATTCAAAAAATCAATTTACCTTGCGCCTGACATCCACCTAGCCAAGCACGTTTTGCACGAACTACATAATACTTTTGGAATTGACCGATTTTGTAAATATATAGTTGCCACACACGTAACAAAACTTTTGAGGATCATTTTTACACTTGAATTCACGTTTTGTCGTATACATCGTTAAGCAATGTTAAAGAAAGAACGCTGTCAAATTGACCTACTGGAAGTGGTGCATGAACCTAGGAGCGGGACAACGGCCAATCTTGGAACATTCAATTTACATGACTTTACAAAAAATTTCATAACTTCGACAATTTCCAACCGATTTCATCCATTAAAGGCTCATTTTCTCCAGTTTTTAATGGACATTAAGAATAAATTATGGAATGATTTTTTGAATCTTTTTATCTCATTAAAAATGTTGATTAAAACAAGATTTTTATGGAAAATTCGCAGGAAAAATAAAAAAAGCTGTAAATTTTTAAATGACTTCAAAATTTTTAATTAAGACTTTATCTTCTAGTGAACGATAGCAAATTTATTTAGCTTCACTTTCATAAAAAAAGATTTAAAATTGGTGTACTAGTTCCAAAGATATTGACATTTTAGTAATCGTACTTTTGTCCAAAATTCAAAAAATCAAATTTTTTGTATATCTCAAAAATTGCTCTACTTTAATTTTTTCTGACCACGGCATTGAATTCAGCGTAGGATTTTGCATTAGAAACGTTGGTCAACCACTAAAGTTCACACTTTTTATGTTGTTTTGTAAACTAGTGTTATCTGCTGAAAATTGCCACTTGACGCTAGCAGCACTTAGTGTTTAGTGTAAGCTTTGCAACGCCAGCGCCATCATGATGTCAAAGAGGGTTTTTAAGTGGGGAAGTCGCCGTTAGTGGCGCTTAAGTCAAATAGAAATCTTTACACAAGTTTTTAGAGACATTTTGGAGCCTCAACGTCTGTTCTCTGTGGCTATCTTATATCGATCTCTTTTCAATAATTGCAACATGTGAATAATGCAGAACAAAAGAACAAGTTTAAAATTATTCTAGAGCCAAATTGGTTTTGAAGGAAGGTCAAACTACAAACGAACAGCTCAGCCGCTTTGAACCCTATGAAAATTATGCTTTCCCAATATGGTACATTCTCTCACTATAAACCTGTCATTTCTAGCCTATCTGAACTATTTAATAAATGGAAGCCATAACATGGGTTACGCTCCTCCTAAGCGGGCCCTCCACATCCTATCTCTGTCTTATCTCAAATGCCAATGGTTTGAATGTATCAATATCTAAATTGGAAATGACGTTCAATCAAAACACTTGGCCAGGCTTCAGAATTGTCCAGTGGGTAGTGCGCTCTACACTCCAAGTTCCCTTTCTTTCAAATTTACCCCAAATTTTATATTTTACCCCTTTGAGTGTTGATTAATCACAATGAAACATTGTGACAGAGCACGGACTTGAGGTTACTAGGGTATTAAATAATCTAGGTCCTATTTAGGATTATATCTGAAAAATCCAAATTTGGCCAACGCCCACCTGTATAATGCTATCAATATTTTCCGTGTAAAAAGCGTACTTCCCACCGCTAGGTGGCACTCTAAAGTAAATCGATTCTTTTCGCTTTTCGAAGCAGAGATGAGCTTCCTTTCTTTGTCAAAACTTTAATAATACTTCATACAAAATGGTGTTTGTAGATGACATGGCTTCGTTTGAGTTTACTTTGACTTTCCTTTGAAGTTGCTCATTAATTTTTTGGGTGAGTATGTTTATTTGTTAATTTGGTCGATTTTTTTAAATTCTGTTGTATCAAGCAGGATTTTTAATGATTCATCCAACGGGAAGTTCTTTTTTATAATTTCCTAACAAACCAACCGTGTACAGTTTTCATCATAAACTTCCACGTCGCTCTCAAACCATCAAATGCATTCTTAGTCCCACTCACATTCCACAGTTTTTGATTGCTACATACGCCCCACACTTCCATTCCAATGAGAGTACTTCCGATTGCATTTAAGGAAAGTTTTCCCCATTTCTCCTCCCCCAGAATCTGCCCCGCCAAAATCGTGCTACTGCCGACTGCTGAGACTGGGTCAACCTCAAGCACAAGATGGAAGGAAAGTTTTCCGCTCGTTTTACGTCATCACTACTGAGACTAGAACTACCAGCAGCAGCGAGCGGTGGCATTGAGGAGGCAATCAACAAAAACAACTACACCAACTACAGCAGCTGTGCCGGCATCTTCATCCGCATCTGCCAAGCCAGCCAAGAAGCAGTAAAAACAAAAGCCCTCGAGTTTTGAACAGCATCATCCACAACGGCGCGCGATCAAGAAGTGACGTGAAAATTCATTCTGGGAGAAAAACGAACTCTCAAGTGTGCAGCTCAACCTGCTGCCTTCCACCACCCGACCGCGTTTCCCGGCGCTATATGGAGTGAATGTTATGAGAATTTTTCCATCGAAAATAAAACCATAACCAGCATCGACGCCGAGTGCAGAACGTATAGGCGAGTGTAGTTCCTGGTGGCAGTTCATCGGAGAATATTTCGTGAGTGTTGTAAAATATAGCGCGCTGCTGCGGGTCCAGGAAGAAGCGAAAGGTGAGACCGCGGCCAGGTGGGTGAGCGAGCACAGTTTATTTTTCCAACGTCTCCGACACGCGACATAAAACGGTGGTGGGCACATCTACCATCTGTCCGTGTGTGTGTGTGTTTTTAGTGTTTTGCTTCGTGAAACTGCGAGATCTAAGCGAAGAAGAATAACAGGAGACGGTGGGAGAAGCATCCGAGAGTGTTTTGTGAAATATTAGAGGAACATCATCGAGCAGGGAAAACATCAACAGCAGGTAGGTTTTTGATTGGCAGGGACGTAGTAAGGGGCTTACGGTATTTAAGCAGTCGGTAAAATTTCAAATGATCGTTAACTGAACAAAGTCTGTACATGTTCGGAATATTTTATAAATTTTGAATTTTTCACTGATTTTTTAGAATTAACGAACAGATCCGTGGTTTTAAAAATAAGGCGGAGGCCTGGCTTAATGTGTATGAATCGCACTCGCTTTTAACTAATCAATGAATCTGATAAAAAAAGACCAAAAATATAGGTCCCTGAATTAACGACATACGACGGAAATGGTTCTAATGTTGGTCTATGGATCTAAGATTGGGCTCATCGCTAAAAATCTGCTATTTATCAATTTTATCTAGATGAACGCTTCATTGGGACGGTGGTACGGTACTAATGGATATTTTGGTCGCAATTGAAAATTTAGTCGATTGCTGAATTTATATATGGGCCCAAATTAGGGGCATTTAGGCCGACATTACATCCATTTCCCATACCTTTGGAAGATTAACACATCCCTTGCTACAGCCCCTACCCCCGTCATGCCTGTGGACACCAAGTCATAAACATCAATTTCGCGCGTGCTGAATAATAAATTTTACTGCCACTGCATCCTCCTCGTCTGCCAGCCCTGCTGTAGAGCTCTAGATGCGATTGTTTATTTACGCCGTGCTCACAGTAGGTAGTAGGTAGTTACCTATCTGGAAGATATGCTTTGACGGGGCAGCCAGAGGATCCGAGATAGGAAGAAGGTGCGGGAGAAAAGCACGGTTTGCGATGTCCCCTCATAGATACCCAAACTGGCAAACGGCTGTGAGCTGAGGGATGGCCTTGCTTCTTGTTTAGAGACGGCGAAAAAAAAGTTATTACAACGTAATGACGTGGTGGGTGTAATTAATTCGGCAATTCAAAAGGAGACTATTAATAAGGAAGTAGCTGGAATATTTATAGAAAAGCAGCAGTTTGTTTCCATCCTGTTGGAAAAATGGTTTTATGGGATGAAATGGGTGAATCACAGCTTTTTTTTTTGAACTTTTGCCTGATCTCATCTTGTGTGTATGTTCTTTGAGTACTTTCATGGCTATTAATTAACCATTTAGAAAAAGCTTCTGCATTTATTTTCCATCAGATGTCACTACTGTACCCAAGTAACATTTTAAGTTTTATAAAATTCTACAAAGCTACTATAAAACAACATTCATAAAACCCTGGTCAAGATTGCTTTGTCATTGATGCATCCACCAAAACCTTATTGATGCTAGAATCTGTCTTGTTGGCCCACCCTGGAGAAGGTTCTGAGGGGTATATTTTCGAAGCTCTTCAAGATTGATTTACTGCAAAATGGATGTACGATAAACGCATTGAGATCCATTTCAAAACCGTATTTAAGCTACAATAAAAGTTATTTGGCAACAATTAAACCATTATTCGAACCATTTATCCTAGCTGCTTGCTAAGTTCAGTAGAAAAACAACAATCAAGATAAAAAAGGATTCATAAATACCATCCGATCTTATCAAAATAATTAAAACTGATCGTGTATAAATCCTGCCGAATTTCCAAAATTATAAAATAGTTCTCATGAAGTGGCCTAGTTTTAGGTGTCATATAAAATTTGATGTGAAATGTACGTGAAAACATCGAAAAACTTGTGTGCACCCACGGGAAAAATTCGATTTTACTAATTATTTCACATTAAGAAAAAAATATATTCTTCATATCGATCATTAAGTTTAGCCTAGATTTTTGTTTCTCATGATTTTTGGATTCTAAATATTTCTCATGCATAATTAGCTAAAATAAAATTATATCCAAGGAAATATATTTAGATTGAAAATCGAAGGTTGTAAAAAACAAATAAAATAATTGTAATATGGCGGAGGCATAAAAGTTGATTTTCATGGGCCAGTTGTGACAAAGTTATTTTGCTTTCAAGAAATCCTTAACAAATTCACAAGGTTTTGAATGGGCTTTTATGAAGAAAACTTGTAGGCTGTATTGTTTTTATCTAAAGCCATTTTGCTTGATCTTAACCCGTTCAGATTTATGGCAGCATTTATGGCGGCAATGTTGCCTACAAAATGTTAAACGTCAAAGTTTGTTTATCTTTCGATAGTTGCGCTATGCGAATCAGCTTTCTTCCAGGCGATTCTCTCCCGATGGCTTGAAAGCAGTTACTCAGAAAGTGCTCACAACATTTCGCATTTCGCACAGCTGTAACCTCGATCATTCCCGAAAAGATCCCTTTCTTCCGGATGGTTCTGGACGTGCTGGTTCTAAAGAACTAAATTTTACTGAAATCGACTTCCCCTCGGTCGTTAGCATCGCTTGAATTTTTCCTCCAACTTCGTTTAACAATATATGCCTTTTACTCTCATTTAAAACCTAATGGTTTTGTGATTGCTTTGATAATGATAGAACAGGTTTATAAAGTATTTTATCAAGACATTAATAAAAAAAACTAATGAAGTTTATGATTGATTTATAGAACAGTTTTATGGTGGGATTGGGAACTACTTTAAATATAATTTTAAAACAAGACATTTTTTGACTTCTCGTCAGACTGTAAAAGGTTTTTAAAACAACGAAAAGGTGAACTACTAAGCAGGAACGTTTTACACTGTGAAATGCTGTATTTAAACTAAATGGATTATTCATTGCCATTATAAATCCATCATAAATCAGAGTGGATGCAGATGGATTGTAGAATTGTTACTTGGGCAGTGACATCTTTCGGAAATTACGCATACTCTGTTTTCCGTTAGTTGTTAACAGAGGACAGTGCAGTCAAAAACCTATAAATCCCTTTCACAGACTACAAAATAGAGTACCTGACGCTGCAACACATGTACCAGTGATGGAATAAATCCAAAAAATCCAAAACCAGGAACGGCCGAAAATCACTGCTGATCTTGAGGTCAGCAAAATCACAAACACGGCTGATTTTATCTTAGCTGATATTGAGGTACATAACAAAATCACTAAACTGAAAATCAATACCCTGGTATTACAGTTAAAGTAATAAACCGACATCCGCCACCATTTCGGAATCCAAGATGGCAGACCAACATCAAATATGGTGGCCTCCGGACAGCGAATATGCATCTAAACCCATGCAATATGAGTATGTACGGAATAGGCTTGATGAGTAGAAGCGGAAAATAAACATCCGCCGCCGTTTAGGAATTTAATATGGCGGACCAAAATTCAATATGGCGGCTCCTAAACAGCGTCTAGTGGTGACCATTAAAATAGGACAATAGGCATGTTGCAACTATGTTTTGTTGTGATCAATTGAGCTGAAATTTTGACACAGAACTACAAATATGCTGAATTTTGCGTGTACGTAATATCAAATTATTGTAAGCGTTTGCCGGAAATTGACGGGCGGGTTGCAAATGACCAATAAAATAGCACATTTATAATTCGAAATTTCCTATGTCTATTATTTCGGAAATTTTTGGCCATATCGTAAATAACTTTCTTAAGCAAAAACCGCCATTGCAGATGGGACAAGTGAGTGTGAGTGGACTCCCTGACCGACGAAGGAGAGAATGCCGCAACAACCGGCGATATCAGATTATTTTCATTAGGTGCGTGAAAGAGCTTGGCACGATCGGTGTTGAGTAAGTAAGTTTTTTCGAATGAAATTGGTATCGAAAGTGTACCAAAAGTGCTTCTGAACGTGTTTCGCAGTTGGGTGTGGTGAAATTCGCGATTGTTTTCAGTGAAAATTCCGTATCACAAATTTGCTCACCGAGTTCCCTTTTTTTTTTGCCGTTCGACGACATCGGGAATGCGCTCCCGGATATATTAATTTGGTGAGTACGTTCCAGTTGAGGATTGTTCTTGTACATTTCTCGATTGCATTTTCGAGGGGACGTGTCTGCTTTTGTGGGCGCACTGCTTTTGATGGTCGGTTTGGTAGTATCCTTTTAAATATAATGTCTCATGTCCAAATAACCTCGATTTTCGGTCTATTGATTCAATACTTTAGTATTATTTTCAAAACATACAATGATGCATTATGTCATTTCATGGCACATAAAACAAAAAGTGTGTGTATAGGACCCAATAATCTAGGTTATTTGTATTTTGTAAAACATCTTTATTTTTTATTATATTTTTTTTATTTTATTACATATTTTATATACATTATATATTACATGATTATATATAAATTCATAATGTAAATTACAATAAATACTGGGAGGGGAGGGAGCATCAGGGCATCATTGAAGTTGTAACTGGACAATGGAGTGGAGTGCCAACCGGAGTCTAGGAGGGAATGTGTACTGTCATTTTAGATAGTTACATTTCACTCCAACAGTTGCAATGAATTTGACGCGCTCTTCTTAAACAAACCATCCCATGGAAAGCTTAACATGTATTGCGAATTTCGTTATTAATTTTGTTGGATCATATTGTTGGAAGGAGATTCTCTAATTCCCGCGGGTTTCGCGTAAGTGCCTCTGCTTACGGGCGCGCCCAACCCTTTTTGGCCCTTCATACAGCAGTATGTTGAATTCAGAATGATGACGGAATTTGATCTTGCTGTTGAGTGGAGCCGCATGCAGGGCAAGACCCAAGCTAGGATGGTGGCTACTTACATACATACATACATACATATCGTAAATAACTTTCTTAAGCACGCCGTCATTTATTGGCAATATTATTGAAATTTTTTAAACTATAACACTATAACTATAATTTTTTAAACTATTGCACACAAATTTTGAATTATAAATGTGCTATATTTTATTGGTCATTTTCAACCAGCCCGTCAATTTCCGGCAAGCGCTTCCAAAAATTTGATATTACCTACACGAAAACTTCAGCATATTTGCATCCAAATCCATGTAATATGGGGGCGGATCTTTGGCTGCCAACTTGGATTCCAAATTGGTTCACCATCTTGAATTTGTAGAAGCTATCTTGGATTGAAATCTTCCATTTTAATTTCATCTGGAATGCTGGCTTGAATTTCGGAGTGTCCCAGAC